GCTTTCGACACCCTGCCAAATTGAGAAAAGTAGGCTTCCAGGTGCGATGCGGTAACCTCCTGTTTCAGATGGCCGATAAATATTGTGGGATCATAGAAGGCGAGAGTAGTGTCATTGTCATCGTCAGACTGGGCGAGGTCATCGTCTGCTCTGTGTGCGACGAGGATTCTGGGTTGCAAAGATCTATGGAGTACAATATTACCAAAGAGACATCAAAGTCCGACCGAAGGAGCCCCACCAGTTGACAAATTTGAAGGTGCTGTTCTTACATAAAACCCCCACAAATTCCACTTTTCATCGAAATTAATTAAATACTGATCCGCGTTATGTCAAATCTTGTTTTGACTAACATGGTTCAGTCAAGTCACGAGTAATATAAAAAACAAGTCAGATATTGTGTCCAGGTTGGTTGCAATTCCCGTGGCCAGTTCATATCAGCTCAAATATGATCTCTCTAGAATGGACCACTCACGAAAACCAGCATGTATCGTGTTCTATATTCATGTCAGGTTGAATTGCTGAATGCTATTTCGTTTAAGGATCGATGTGCAGGAGAGCACGGAAACAGAAACTCCTCTCTCATAAATAACAACTATTTAGCTACTTAATTGATTTAAGTAGAGTGTTGTATAATGATCATTCTATGACGCGCTGCCGTTAACATGCCGTTCAAGAAGCTAATCCTGGGTTGTCGAGTAAAGTAAAAAACGTAAAAGGTAGGATACAGCATCAGAAATGCCATCTTTCTGGCAGCGATAGTCTTCATCTAAATCTGTTAGGTGAATGACTGCGTTCTGGATAGGATATAAGAGATGCTGAGTCATGATATCGTATACACTCACGGGGGGTGTCCGTTTCGCCGACACATACTATTGCCACAAACTGTTGACAAGCCCAAATTATTAGCTGTAATTTACAGCTTAGCTATGAGCAATCATTACAAACTGAGGAACTTAAATAAACACATATTAGTTATTTTCCAATTAACGACTGGCGTAAGTGATAAAGGGAGCAATGATTTCGATGAGCTGACCTCCCCTGTCTGTGAAGGTAGCCGACCATAACAGTTTGGCACCTGTGACCAGATTCAAGGGGTTCTCTCGCTTGAGATGGCTGCAATTTTCTGTACATATGAAAAGCTTACCCTTTGTCCTGTTTCCTCCTTGCCAACCGGACAACCATGTGCTGGTCGCCTAACAGGTGTGGCTGGACCTCAAGCACGCGTCTTACTGAGTCCGTTTCGAGGAAGGTAACAAAGCCGCGCCGAACAGAAGCCGAACCCATCTTGTCCTTTGGTCCGAAGACTTCAG